AAGTTTTAGTACTTTTGTTTTTGGGTTGTCTATATAGTTTTTATTTATGTAGTTCATCAGCTATGAAACAGAAAGCATTTACTTGTCAACTACCTAAAATAAGTTTACATGCTTCAGTTAAGGTTGATTTTATTTCAAGCAACAAAAAAGTTTTTCATGATTTTAATTTTAGTTATTTATAATAACCCTGCTGTGACCACCTCACCACTTTGTCTTTACAGTATTTGTGCCATGCGATTAATGAAAAAACATAATCGTGCCCTCTGTTGTCTGTTTGGCTTTGTACTGCTCTACAATTTCTTATCCTGGAGTAAAACCATGCTACTCTTGAGTCAGACTGAGACCAGTGGACCTAAAAGCCCAGAGTACAACATCACCATCCTCCTGTGGCACTGGCCTTTCGGAGTTCGCTACAGACTGGAGAGAGGCGACTGTATGGATAAATATGAAATCCCCAGATGCTTTCTGGAGGATAACCGATCTTTTTTCGCTCAGGCAGATGTTGTAGTCTTCCATCACAATGAGCTCTGGACTGGCCACTCCAAACTGCCTCTCCACCTTACGCGTCCACCAACGCAAAAGTGGCTTTGGTTATCGCTGGAACCTCCTATGAACAACCACAATCTCAGCAACTACAACAGTTTGTTCAACTGGACAATGAGTTATCGCCGTGACGCTGACATCTTCATGCCATACGGAGAGCTTGTTTCTAAAAGGTCTAATGCCACATACACTATTCCGATGAAGAGCGAATGCCTAGTTTGCTGGGTGGTCAGCAAATACAAAGCCAATCAGAGTCGCTCTCTAGTTTTCAAGCAGCTGAAGAAACACATTCCATCAAAACTAATAGAAGTATACGGTCGGTGGCCCAAGCGGCCGCTCTCAAACAAAAAGCTGCTTTCCACAATATCTCGATGTTATTTCTACCTTGCCTTTGAAAACTCAGTATCCACAGACTATATCACAGAGAAGCTGTGGCGAAACTCGCTTCAGGCGGGGAGTGTGCCGGTGGTGCTCGGCCCACCCAGGAACATTTATGAACTATCAATTCCACCAGAGTCATTCATCCATGTAAATGACTTCAGCAGCATTAAGGCGCTGACTAATTTCTTAAGTCAAGTGGCTGCTGATAGAGAGCGTTATGAGTCTTATTTTAGATGGCACAATTACTATGATGTTAGAATGTACACAGACTGGATAGAGAGACTATGTAATATTTGCATGCGTTATGACCAGCTCTCTAAGCATAAAAAAGTGTACAATGATCTGTACAGCTGGGTCAACAGGTAACTGACTTTTTCAAGGAAGCTGTTTCATTTGAAAGTGTGGATTTTCAAATTATAAGTTCACCTTATCTGTTCTTTGCAAGTACTGTCAAATGCATTTGAAACCTGTCCAGGGTCTTCAATAAGTGCTAGTAAATTATAACTGATTTTTCACAGTGTTGCTTTATTAATATTTAAACAATAGCATTTTGCTTCTCATTCCAACCCTGTTTTTAACATCAGATGCCATTATGTTACTGAATATAGTTGTGTGCACTCAGTGTGTGGGAACACCCTTCCGATTCAATATTCACAGGTTGCTACTGAGTTTCATCAATACAGTTTTAAAGCCAGCAATTCATGCTTCCATATATTTAACCATTTTTTTTCAAATCAACTAATTTGTAAAAATTTCATTTCATTTCACGTTTACATGCTTTTCTGTGGTAAACTATTTTTGAGACTGCCACACCTGAAAACCCCCAGATTTCTTCCCACAGAGAGCTAAAATGAGTCAGAGAAGCATGCCAGCTCACTCTTGAACCACTGGGTGTTATTTATGTGCATGCCAGGCTAAAAATCAGTTAAAAACTGTTGTGCTTTTCTTTGTGGCCTTGTGTTTCTGTTTTGTGGTTCTTTCTTTATAAATGATTTTTCAGATTTTTAAGACTGTAAATTATTAGCATTTTAGATTCGATTCATCCTGTTTTATTTAAAAAAAAATAAAAAAATGTGTTCATATGTGTTCATATTGCTTTTGGTCCGTATAAACACTAAGCTATTCTACAAAGTTGCTCAGGTGCATAAAGATAAGAGCCCGATTCAAGAAACCTTCTGGATATTTCAGTGTGATTTTTATGTATTTTCCAGAGGTGGTTATGTGAAACAGGGTGACAGACTGGTAAAAAAAATAAATAAATAGCAGTACACTGTACAGTTATTCCAACCGTTGAGCTTTTTTTCTTTAAAAAAAAGCTATGCAACGTTGTGAGTGAAACCATGCAAAATGATGATTAAGTGTTCCTACATGTTCACACGATCACATTAGATCAGCATTAGTCACTTCTCTAAAGACTAAATTGATTTTATGCTGTCTAAGATCTGTGATTAACTTGCCTCTTTGTCTTCACAGCCTTCTGTGCTTTTCTAAGAACTACTGACATTGTTTTAAGTTGGACTGATGCAAAATCAAGACAGTATTTAACGGTTAGTACTCTGAACAACTTCTCTTCTCTTAGTGTGTTGATTTGAAAACCCTGATGACATAACCGATGTTACAGAGCAAAAGATTGATGTGGCAAATGCAATTTGTAACCGATGATCGGAAAAAGCTGACAGGGGACGAAGTCTCACATCCTCTTTAACAGTGAGGTATATTCAACTGGCTGTTTCTGTGGTTTCCTTTTTATGCATCTTGTAGAAACAAAGTAAAGTTTTAAATTTAACTTTTAGGCAGGTAAGAATTCTTGTAGAGATTTTGTATTAATATTTAAAAAGAGTATATTTTGTTTATCATATTTCTGATCAATTCATATTTTAACACGTTTTAAAACCCATCAAAATTTTGTCCTGAGCCCTGGGTAGAGGATCTCATGTTACTCTCATCACCTTGTAATTAGTAAACTGTTAACTTGATCGTTAATTCCATCCTATCACATACGCTCAGAACAAAATACCATATACTGTAGATGTAATCTGATGTTTCCCTTCTTTTTTAATTTGTCGCATTTAAATGGCATGCAAATAAAACATGCTAAATTAAACATTGATCTACTGATTGTTATTGAATCTATTGTCATGAAATTTAATGACACAAAAAGACGGTCACTTGTCGCCACCTATTGTCATCATAGATTGGTACTTTTGATGCACTGTAGTCTTACAAAACAGAAGCACAAGCCTATTATATAGAAACAACTTCATTATTATCTATAAATGGAAATTTAGTGTGGTAAGGCTTGAATTGTTCTCATTGGTAAGTCACTTTGGATAAAAGCTTCTGTCTAAATGAATAAATGTAAATGTTCAGGGACAAACCCTCTGGTGTGACCTGGGTTTGGTGCCTTCGATATCGGCCAGTATACCATCTTTTTTCGATACTGTCCGGTCTTTACTGACTTGTACTGTAATTTCTTAAGGTCATCTCAGTGTTGCTCCTTTTTCCAACTGTGTCATTCCTGTTGTTGTCTGAAAATGTGCATGAGCAAGAAACAGAAAAAAAAATAAATAAATAGCAGTACACTGTACAGTTATTCCAACCGTTGAGCTTTTTTTCTTTAAAAAAAAGCTATGCAACGTTGTGAGTGAAACCATGCAAAATGATGATTAAGTGTTCCTACATGTTCACACGATCACATTAGATCAGCATTAGTCACTTCTCTAAAGACTAAATTGATTTTATGCTGTCTAAGATCTGTGATTAACTTGCCTCTTTGTCTTCACAGCCTTCTGTGCTTTTCTAAGAACTACTGACATTGTTTTAAGTTGGACTGATGCAAAATCAAGACAGTATTTAACGGTTAGTACTCTGAACAACTTCTCTTCTCTTAGTGTGTTGATTTGAAAACCCTGATGACATAACCGATGTTACAGAGCAAAAGATTGATGTGGCAAATGCAATTTGTAACCGATGATCGGAAAAAGCTGACAGGGGACGAAGTCTCACATCCTCTTTAACAGTGAGGTATATTCAACTGGCTGTTTCTGTGGTTTCCTTTTTATGCATCTTGTAGAAACAAAGTAAAGTTTTAAATTTAACTTTTAGGCAGGTAAGAATTCTTGTAGAGATTTTGTATTAATATTTAAAAAGAGTATATTTTGTTTATCATATTTCTGATCAATTCATATTTTAACACGTTTTAAAACCCATCAAAATTTTGTCCTGAGCCCTGGGTAGAGGATCTCATGTTACTCTCATCACCTTGTAATTAGTAAACTGTTAACTTGATCGTTAATTCCATCCTATCGCATACGCTCAGAACAAAATACCATATACTGTAGATGTAATCTGATGTTTCCCTTCTTTTTTAATTTGTCGCATTTAAATGGCATGCAAATAAAACATGCTAAATTAAACATTGATCTACTGATTGTTATTGAATCTATTGTCATGAAATTTAATGACACAAAAAGACGGTCACTTGTCGCCACCTATTGTCATCATAGATTGGTACTTTTGATGCACTGTAGTCTTACAAAACAGAAGCACAAGCCTATTATATAGAAACAACTTCATTATTATCTATAAATGGAAATTTAGTGTGGTAAGGCTTGAATTGTTCTCATTGGTAAGTCACTTTGGATAAAAGCTTCTGTCTAAATGAATAAATGTAAATGTTCAGGGACAAACCCTCTGGTGTGACCTGGGTTTGGTGCCTTCGATATCGGCCAGTATACCATCTTTTTTCGATACTGTCCGGTCTTTACTGACTTGTACTGTAATTTCTTAAGGTCATCTCAGTGTTGCTCCTTTTTCCAACTGTGTCATTCCTGTTGTTGTCTGAAAATGTGCATGAGCAAGAAACAGAGAAAACATTGTAAAAAAAATTTAAACAAAAAACAGATTTCTCAATAAAATAATAAATACCAATACAAATAACAATACTACTAAACGGTTATTGTAGTAATGTTTAATGAAAACTGTAATGTAGAAATATAGCGTAAGATTGTCATGTAATAAAAATGAGGACTCACTAGTTTTGTATTCCCTGCAGTTTTTAATGACTACAAACACAATCACACTAATGAGAATAATTAAAATAATGATGCTCAAAATTCCAAGTACTACTCCAAGGATGTTTGATTCTGTATAAAACACACAAACATACAGAAAAAAGAACACAGAATTGTACAATTAACAGAAATTCACAAATGTGGCTGATCCTATAGCTAAATTTTATCCCCTGCTTTTTTTCCCTTTTTTCTGTAGACCTTGTAGACTTGTTGTTTGGAAAGAAAATGTTGAATATGGTCTATTACACTTACTGTGGTTGCTAATGATCTCATCCTCTGTTTGAATCTTCTGAATGTCTTTTTTCAAACTCTTGTGTTGCACCACACAGGTGTAACAGTTCCTCTTCCACTCTTCTTTCTTCACTCTGAGACTAATGCGCTTCTGGAAGGTTTCATCCATATTTTTTAAAGTTTCTCTTGTCTCCATATTTTCATGGTGCTCCTGTCCATTTTTCCTCCAGGTAATATTCACTATTGCTGGGTAGAAACCTGTTGCAATGCACACCACTGGAGAGGAGTTCTTTTGCAGCAGATACACTTTGGGATGGACTAAAAATTATCATTTTCCTTAATTTTCCTACTTGGTGCATACTACCTACCTAAGTGCATTAATGTTACAATTACAAAGCAAAGACTTAAAGGGTTAGTTCACCCAAAAATGAAAATTAGCCCATAAATTACTCACCCTCAAGTCATCCTAGGTGTATATGACTTTCTTCTTTCAGACGAATCCAGTCGAAGTTATATTAAAAATTGTCTTTGATCTTTTAAGCTGTTTAATGCCACTCAGCGGGTGTTGCATGCATCAGTCCAAAAGAAGTTAAATAAAAAGCACCCA